AAGTAATAAAGAGCCTCGATTTGGTCCAGGAAAACACACTCTGCTCCTTTTTCCGCGCCGTCTTTGGACACGTCTCCGGCGGGCAGCAGGAATCCCTCGTTTAGCAGTCCGGTGGCCAGCATCAGTCCCTCGGGTCTGTTTCTGGCCTTCCCCTCAGAAATCAGCCAGTCGATCACTGTGTTTCCTGCCAGCAGATCCACCGGGAGACTTTTACAGGTCAACAAAACTCACAGAAAGAGAGATTAAATGGAGATGTTCCTCTAGAAAAAACGGTAGCAGTTTAGTATAGGGAGCAATTCTCACTGTAGTTGCTTATTAGCATGCCTGCTATATTGGCTGTTTATTAGTACTTATAAAGGCACATATTCTGCATGCCTAATCCTACCTAAACTGAACAACTACCGCACTAACTATTAACAAGCAGCAGATTAGAGTTTATTGAGGCAAAATTGAATGGTTTGTTAATGGTGAGAACTGGACCTTAAAATGAATTGTGAATTGTGATCATTCAGCTGTGTCACGGTAATACTTCTCATTTGTGACCCTGGACTACAAAACTAGTCTAAAGTCGCTGGGGTATATTTGTAGCAATAGCCAAAAACAATACATTGTATGGGTCAAAATTATCGATTTTTCTTTTATGCCAAAAATCATTATGAAATGAAGATATTTTGTAAATTTCCTACCGTAAATATCAAATCTTTTTTTGATTAGTAATATGCATTGCTAAGAACTTCATTTGCAAAACTTTAAATATGATTTTCTCAATATTTCGATTTTTTTGCACCCTCAGATTCCAGATAGTTGTATCTCGGCCAAATATTGTTCTATCCTAACAAACCATACATCACTGGAAAGCTCATTTATTCAGCGTTCAGATGATGTATAAATCTCAATTTCAAAAATGTACCCTTATGACTGGTTTTGTGGTCCAGGGTCACATTTATGGTAGTAAGCAGGTTTGGTCTAGTTCTTTATTTTACCACTGGAGCTGAAATGAACATTTTACCTGAGAAGCAGTGATTGAACAGCCTTTTATCCTTCTCTACCTTCAGCTCTTGCACTCCTTTGTCTTGATCTTTCATTAGAACATACAGTTCACTGCAGACAGACAGATCAAAGGCAGTGTTTTTAACGGCTTTGTAATTCACAGCAGGGTCTTTTAAACTGTATTTACCATCTATTTCTTAGGTTTTAGCAGAAAACAGACACTCTTTTATTCAGTCATTGAAAACAAACAGTTTGCATAATATGAGCTCAATTCAGAATAGGCATATGCCAACGAGATCACTAATATTTCAAATATGACCCAGTTTTATTACTGAAATCACAGTGTAATACCTCAGGTTAACATTTTCTGGTAACCGAATGGATCGGCGCGTTGACTTCCTGGCAAACTTCTTGCCGCCCTGTAAACAAGTGATGGCTCTCTTGATATCTTTAACCCAAAGCTCCCTCTCCTCCAGGTGAGTCGCTTGGAAGAAATGCCCCTGGTTCTTAGCCATACTGACCTTAAACACTAGCTGTTGACAAAAGCATATGAAAGCTATTCATGAAAAACTCTAGATGTGTCATCAGTATATCAGTGATTCCTTCACCGTTCTTTTAGTGAAATCCTGGCACGGGCTGGTCAGAGTCGCACCCTTCAGAGGGATCATTCCCTTCGGACTGTTGTCTGTCTTCTTCTTGTAAAACTCAATGGCGTCATCTGCTAACACCACCCACACTACCTTCCACGAGTTGAGCACCGTCCCCTGCAAAACAACACCACTTCTCTGCTGTAACTTCCTAAAATCAGCGATGCAGATACTGAATACAAAAGCAGTAGTGCTGAGCTATAAACAAATAGCTTGTTACTTCAATCCATGCAGCTAAAGGAAAGATACCGTTTGATATAAAGGATTAGATCAGCACGGTTTGAATTTCAGTGCTCAAAAGAATTTCAGTGAAGTATGAACGTTCAATTTCGGTCGTTTTCACTTCTTTGTTTTAGCTCACACCCACAGCTGTGGGATGAATTGTACTATATTTTCAGCTGCCAGATCCTGATGCACAAATTTAGTTTTGTTTTCATTACAGTGTTCCCTAAAGACAAGAATATTATGAAATGCTATCCCAAAACCAAGGGGTTCAATCCCTAAATAAATGAATGAGTGTGTGGACTAAATGAAATGTACGTTACAGTACATGCTGCAATGACTGCGTTTTTGTAAAAGGAGGAGGAAGTTTCCACATCTATTCCCAAAATAGAGCAACTTTACAACTTCGTGGAAAAACATGACAAAACATCAGCGCATGACATCAGTACTGTCATATATGGTATTATCATAGTGCATGTTCAAATTTGAGCACAAAACCAGTCATAAGTAAATAACTCATTATATATAAATCTGAAAATCTGGAATCTGAGGGTGCAAAAATATCTAAATATTGAGAAAATCGCCTTTAAAGTTGTCAAAAGAATTTCAGTGAAGTGTGAACGTTCAATTTCGGTCGTTTTCACTTCTTTGTTTTAGCTCACACCCACAGCTGTGGGATGAATTGTACTATATTTTCATGCACAAATTTAGTTTTGTTTTCATTACAGTGTTCCCTAAAGACAAGAATATTATGAAATGCTATCCCAAAACCAAGGGGTTCAATCCCTAAATAAATGAATGAGTGTGTGGACTAAATGAAATGTACGTTACAGTACATGCTGCAATGACTGCGTTTTTGTAAAAGGAGGAGGAAGTTTCCACATCTATTCCCAAAATAGAGCAACTTTACAACTTCGTGGAAAAACATGACAAAACATCAGCGCATGACATCAGTACTGTCATATATGGTATTATCATGGTGCATGTTCAAATTTGAGCACAAAACCAGTCATAAGTAAATAACTAATTATATATAAATCTGAAAATCTGGAATCTGAGGGTGCAAAAATATCTAAATATTGAGAAAATCGCCTTTAAAGTTGACCAAATGAAGTTCTTAGCAATGCATATTACTAATAAAAAAAATGATGTTTTGATATATTTACAGCAGGAAATTTACCAAATATCTTCATGGAACATGATCTTTACTTAATATCCTAATGATTTTTGGCATAAAAGAAAAATTTATAATTTTGACTCATACTTATTGTTGGTTATTGCTACAAATATACCCGTGCTACTTATGACTGGTTTTGTGCTCCAGGGACACATATAGCCCATATTGCTCAGTGTCAGCACCGAAAAATACATCCGATATATCAAACACCTCTATTAGCCAGACATACAAATGTTGTTGGGTTAATCTGAAGTCTGAGTTGCAAAAGTATCTTTAATTTTGTTGATGTAGACTTTCTAAAACTTTTAAGGGTATAAAATGTTCAATTTTACAACTGAAGTGTTTGGATGAACACCAAAACATCTTCCTTTTAAGGTCACCAGCAGTGTTGGGGGTAACTCATTACAAGTAAGGCGAGTCACGTAATCAGATTACTTTTTTCAAGTAACTATTAAAGTAACGCATTACTTTTTAATTTACAAGAGAATATCGGAGTTACTTTTTGAAATAAGTAACGCAAGTTACTTTTTTTTCCAATTTATTGACTGGCAGCTCTGCTGTCCCCATGTTGAGAGAAATCAGAAGACGTTACTGTAGTTCTAAAATAAATATCAATATGCATTAATCATCTCACTCACAAAAAACATAGATTCAGTATTCCTCAAAATAATGCAACTCAGAATATGACGCAAACCTGCAATAATTAAATGTTAAACACAAATATCCTTTATGTGTTTAATCCCATTCTATTTGCTTCGGAGCTTCGATGATCCAGTTCAAGCGTACTAATAAGCACTAATTACTCTAGACAAACATTTGTGTGTTTTTTTATTGCTAAAGTGTGTTGAAATTTCTTCTTCTGCATTCTACTGTACAGAAGTTAATTTACTTTCCCTTCAGCCTGAGGCTTATTCATTTAACTTTTGGTGTGAAAAGGCTTTTATATTTGCCAAAAATATAACTTTTTTATTTAAAAAAAAACAAACAAGCAAGCCCTGTCCAGATTTAAAAAGTAGCGCAAAAGTAACGTAACGCATTACTTTGCATAAAAAGTAACTAAGTAACGTAATTAGTTACTTTTTTTATGGAGTAACGCAATATTGTAATGCATTACTTTTAAAAGTAACTTTTTTACTTTTTACAGAAAACGTAACGCTGCATATCACAAACCCTGAAGCACACCACAGAAAAGCTATTATTGTACCACAGAATCACAGATACACCCCAGCCTTACCTTCTTCACTAAGTACCCTTCTCTGATTGTTGTTGGTTCCATAGCTGTGAAGTAAAGCAGCGAGTCTCTGTCTACAGGGAGTGCTGAATGTGAGTTCACACAGTTCAGCCGAATTTGTGTCTGACGTGTAACCTCTGTCGACTTATAGACACATTTTGACGAAAGGGAAGTTGCGCACTGCCTGACAGGCAACTTCATGGTCAGCTAGTTTCCTCTGTGTTTTCAACCCACACAGAAATAGTGTGTCATTAGTGATAACGAGCCCACAGGCACGCATGATTACTTTATGCTTGTCAATGACAGTGAAAGAAAGAGTTTTTTTAGCCATATTCTTTAAAAACAAATGTCCATTCCGGCCTTAAAATGGCTTTTCATTTAACATCTGCAAAGAAGTGTATTGTCAAAAACTGGTTCTTGATATGAACCTTTTTTGGTGCTGCAATGGACCATATTTTGAAGCCTGCACCTTCTGTGGGAATAATACTTCAACAAACTAATCGCATTAGAGAAACAATACTTTCACAGGAAGCTGAATGAAGATAGTCGAAGTGTGACAGAAGACTGGTGCGGTGCATGTTTGTGGTCACAAAAGAGGGACCCGACCTAGGCTGGGTTCGCAGTTTATCTAGAATAATAAAGTACTTTTTTAACACCTGAGAAGTTAAAACATTATCCAGTTGTTTACTGTATTATTTCATGATATACAGTGGGTACGGAAAGTATTCAGACCCCCTTAAATTTTTCACTCTTTGTTATATTGCAGCCATTTGCTAAAATCATTGAAGTTATTTTTTTTCCTCATTAATGTACACACAGCACCCCATATTGACAGAAAAACACAGAATTGTTGACATTTTTGCAGATTTATTAAAAAAGAAAAACTGAAATATCACATGGTCCTAAGTATTCAGACCCTTTGCTGTGACACTCATATATTTAACTCAGGGGCTGTCCATTTCTTCTGATCAGCCTTGAGATGGTTCTACACCTTAAGTTGAGTCCAGCTGTGTTTGATTATACTGACTGGACTTGATTAGGAAAGCCACACACCTGTCTATACAAGACCTTACAGCTCACAGTGCATGTCAGAGCAAATGAGAATCATGAAGTCAAAGTTCACACGTGGTTTTGAAAGGAAGTGAGAGAGTTGTACCTCGGTACATGAGAGAATACGCTTTTATCTCATTACCTCATCCGTGCCTTCAGATGCAGCGGAGAGCAGAAGCTTATCCAAATATTACAGACGAAACAGCCTTACTGAAGACGGACACAAAGCACTGAGGTGGTGCTGTTTTGACACAGTGATATATATATATATATATATATATATACTTTCCCTTCAGCCTGAGGCTTATTCATTTCACTTTTGCTGTGAAAAGGCTTTTATATTTGCCAAAAATATAACTTTTTTTTTATTTTAAAAACAAACAAGCAAGCCCTGTCCAGATTTAAAAAGTAACGCAAAAGTAACGTAACGCATTACTTTCCATAAAAAGTAACTAAGTAACATATTTAATTACTTTTTTTATGGAGTAACGCAATATTGTAATGCATTACTTTTAAAAGTAACTTTCTCCAACACTGTATATCAGATGGTGGTTATACCACTAAATATATACTGTATTCTAATAAATGATTACACAATCAAGTACCGTGGTGTTAACATAGTAATAACGTCTTTGTGATTGGTATTTTGATACCACGGTTCTGTTTTCGTTCATATAAGTCTACCATATCATTTACACCCTGCTGTGTAATACAACAATACAAACCATCACAGAATTTGTAATGCTTTTACGGGTCATAATGGCATTTATATTGGTCTTAATGGAAACTGTAATGGTCCCTGTGGGTCTCTATGGATAATTTGTCACCTTCTAATGGTGGCTTGGTAAAACCACTAAATCCTAATGGAATATGTCCCAAAACACACTACAGGAAACCATTTTAATGTTGTTTTTTCTTCTTCTGGTTAATAGTTGATCGTTTGTAATGTTTCTCTAATGTTATTTGTAATGGAAATCGTTAGAATTTCTGTGACTTATTTTTTTCATCAGGGCAGTACATGGTACTTCAAGGTACACTCTTAAAAATAAAGGTGCTTCAAAAGGTTCTTCAAGCGATGCCATGTAAGAACCATTTTTGGTTCCACAAAGAATCATTCAGTCAAAGGTTCTTTAAAGAACCATCTCTTTCTTACCTTTTTGTAATCTGAAGAACCTTCTTTCGCCACAAAGAAGCTTTTGTGAAACAGAAAGGTTCTTCAGATGTTAAAGGTTCTTTATGGAACCATTTAGACAAAAAGGTTCTTCTATGGCATCGTGAAGCACCTTTATTTTTAAGAGTGTAGCTAAAAAAATACCATTGCATTTGATGCCCAAAACCACATGATATTGTCAAGTTGCATGTTCAAAAACCAATATAGTGTGTAACCTGCCATATTATGTTGATGTTAATCTAGTCTATTGTTCAGTGGCATCACTGCAGAATGACACTCGTCACACTTGATATCGTTGAGCAACAGAAGCCTGTTGTTCTGGAAGACACATACTTTGGCAGAGGCACATTTGACTGATCGATTACCCAAACGCACCAATCAATGCAGCATGTGTTAATCTGAAGTGGGCTCCACCGCCTCTCTCTTGACCTCTTTAGGTCATACAGACATGCGCTTGTTCGGATTACTGTTCTTGTGCGGTTTATGGACCGGAACAGCAGACGTGACTTTGGACCTGTTTCCCCGCACCTGACTGCCAGCTTTACACACCGTTTGGCGTCATGGCTGACATACCCCCCCAGCTGATTAAAATCGGCATTTCTCGGAAAACCACTCTGAATAACGCACCCGTCTACTTGAAATCGGACCGGACGAGATTCGGTCAAACCCGAACCATCAAATTACTGATAGGAACTACACTCTAAAAAATGCTGGGTTAAATATAACAAAAAGGGGGACAAACCCAGCTATTGGGCTGTTTTGACTCAGTGGTTGGGTTATTTTGAACCCAACCGCTGGGTCAAAACAACCCAATAGCTGGGTTTGTCCCTTTTTAACTCAGCGCTGGGTTATATTTAACCCAGCGCTGGGTTATATTTAACCCAGCATTTTTTAGAATTTAACCCAGCGCTGGGTTATATTTAACCCAGCGCTGGGTTATATTTAACCCAGCGCTGGGTTATATTTAACCCAGCGCTGGGTTATATTTAACCCAGCGCTGGGTTATATTTAACCCAGCGCTGGGTTATATTTAACCCAGCGCTGGGTTATATTTAACCCAGCGCTGGGTTATATTTAACCCAGCGCTGGGTTATATTTAACCCAGCGCTGGGTTATATTTAACCCAGCGCTGGGTTATATTTAACCCAGCGCTGGGTTATATTTAACCCAGCGCTGGGTTATATTTAACCCAGCATTTTTTAGAGTGTAAATACAGGATCGACGTGGTCATCAAACCGGGAGCGGAGGCGACGTGAGTACATTGTCAGACAATGAAATTATTGATCGGAGATTTCTTGTTTTCAATAAAGCTTCGTTTGCATCAGCGTTGAGATGCGTTGATGCATTTCGATGTCTGAGAAATGATTTGCCATCAATAGTAGACTATTATACAAGGCAATAATGCAGACTTATTATTGTAGGCTATGCATATATTCATTGTACTTGGTAGCTACTCAATAAAAAAAAAATGCCATGTTATTACTATGGTTAACTGATAATAGTGAAAATAAATGAAAATACTGAAATGAAAACATAATTTTGTATGTAGCATGTGATGATACATATGGGATGTCATGATTGTGGGGTTTATCCTACAGGATCTCATGCACTGACAGATTGCTTCCTTCGGCAGTCAAATCCAGACGATTAATGCCGAGTTCACACTGCACGATTTTAGCCCGATTTTTCACTCGCCGACAGGTTTTGCGAAATCCCAGACAAATGCCCGACATCGGAGGCAAATCGGTGCTCGTTCACGCGAGTGACAATCACGGACCGGAACAGCAGACGTGATTTTGGACCTGTTTCCCCGCACCTGACTGCCAGCTTTACACACCGTTTGGCGTCATGGCTGACATACCCCCCCAGCTGATTAAAATCGGCATTTCTTGGAAAACCACTCCGAATAACGCACCCGTCTACTTGAAATCGGACCGGACGAGATTCGGTCAAACCCGAACCATCAAATTACTGATAGGAACTACACTCTAAAAAATGCTGGGTTAAATATAACAAAAAGGGGGACAAACCCAGCTATTGGGCTGTTTTGACTCAGTGGTTGGGTTATTTTGACCCCAACCGCTGGGTCAAAACAACCCAATAGCTGGGTTTGTCCCTTTTTAACCCAGCGCTGGGTTATATTTAACCCAACATTAGGGGGACAAACCCAGCTATTGGGCTGTTTTGACTCAGTGGTTGGGTTATTTTGAACCCAACCGCTGGGTCAAAACAACCCAATAGCTGGGTTTGTCCCTTTTTAACTCAGCGCTGGGTTATATTTAACCCAGCGCTGGGTTATATTTAACCCAGCATTTTTTAGAGTGTAAATACAGGATCGACGTGGTCATCAAACCGGGAGCGGAGGCGACGTGAGTACATTGTCAGACAATGAAATTATTGATCGGAGATTTCTTGTTTTCAATAAAGCTTCGTTTGCATCAGCGTTGAGATGCGTTGATGCATTTCGATGTCTGAGAAATGATTTGCCATCAATAGTAGACTATTATACAAGGCAATAATGCAGACTTATTATTGTAGGCTATGCATATATTCATTGTACTTGGTAGCTACTCAATAAAAAAAAAATGCCATGTTATTACTATGGTTAACTGATAATAGTGAAAATAAATGAAAATACTGAAATGAAAACATAATTTTGTATGTAGCATGTGATGATACATATGGGATGTCATGATTGTGGGGTTTATCCTACAGGATCTCATGCACTGACAGATTGCTTCCTTCGGCAGTCAAATCCAGACGATTAATGCCGAGTTCACACTGCACGATTTTAGCCCGATTTTTCACTCGCCGACAGGTTTTGCGAAATCCCAGACAAATGCCCGACATCGGAGGCAAATCGGTGCTCGTTCACGCGAGTGACAATCACGCAGTGTGAATTATCAAAGACGCTATCTGAGGGATTATAAAATATATATAAAATATTTGGCATGCTAAATATCTGGAGCTGTTGGCGATTCACAATCACGCTGTGTGCAATGATTTCTGACTGAAAAACTCATCGGCGATGACCTACAGCCAATGAGAGACCAAGATACAGGGCAGAGGGAAGCTCAGGGAGGAGTTATAGACCAGAATATCAGTATCTTAATAGATATATGAACAATTATCATACAGAAACAAGCACAAACATTTGCTTGACCAGCCACAACTTCAGCATACCAGTTACTGCACAATTATTTTCCTCCAACTCTCTGCAGAACACCCAATCCCTGTTCCCTGCATCTCCCTCCTGCATAATCTGTTTCTCTTTTTCTCCTTGTAGCTGGAAATCAGCTCACAGACAATATGCGGGCTATATATATGTTTTTAATAATTACAGTCTTGCTGGAGAACTCCGGTCTGACGCATGCAGGTTCTCGTAGTTCTCGTTCACACAGTTCTCGTTGTGAAATGTAGTTTGCGGACCAGACAGAGCTGTGGGCGATTCTTCCTATTGTGAAGTCATGCTGTGTGAAACCCCCTGTCGCCGATCCATCGTGCAGCGACTGACTGCTACCCCAGATAGTCACGCAGTGTGAAAACAACGGCGATCCGACGAGTTTGAAAATCGTGCAGTGTGAACTCGGCATAAGGCATCAGTCTGGCGGGCTGCATGTTGTAATGCATGTAGGCTATTCTTTGTGTGTTCCTAGGCCTACACATATCCAGGCGTTCCTCTCTCCAGTCTCATTCCTCAGACCCATGACCCTCAGTCTGTAGTGTACACTGGGATATATGACTCTGAGGGAGTAGCACACACCAAATCCGGAGAGAGGCAACCTGTTCAAGTCAACATGCAGGTGAGAACTGACCACGTGAGGAGCCGATCGCTTTCCAAATGGGTTTTGTTCTCTTAGAAATAAGTATAGCAATGCAGCTCGAGGATTTGAAACTATACAGGCTGAAGAAGAAGTGTGTGAAGATGTGTCATTTCTGTCACTTCAGTTCACTCAGGCAGGGCTTTTCGAGACCAAGTTCTACAACTACAACAAGAGAGACCACTGCCAATGGGGCAACAGCTTCAACAGCATCGAGTACGAGTGTAAACCCAACGACACGCACACCCTCATGTGGATCAATAAAGAACTGTTCCTTTGAGGAAACAGATACTGGGCTAGACACAGCACACTGTCACTCTCAGTGGAGCCTTTCCTGTTAGCGACGTGTGACTTAGACGTTTGTGATGAAGTGGGAGTTTTGTTGGATTAGTCTTGGTGCTGCTGGAAAATCAATGCACTGTATCTGATGCGATAGTTGCACTTTACCCTGTTTGTTGTAGTGTTGTCTCTTTTGCAGTTTTCCTTCCAGTTGTCTACCTCTGAAGAACCCAGTGAGGATGAAGTTTACTTTAATATTTGAGATTGTATATAGTTTTCACGTTAGACTTGTTAATACACATAAATGTAGCATTTTCGCAGTTAATTGTACCCGTATCGATATATGTCTAGTGTGTCTTTTTATGAGTATTTTGTAATGGTGCATTGTGATGTATGTGCAAAAATGGTGTATTTTTCCATATTTTTGCATTTTTCTAAATGGTAATACTGTTTAAAGAAAAATAAAGTATACCAGAAATGTGCTTTAACTGAGTAGTCTTGCACTGACACATGCATGCAGCAACACGCAGAGGTTTTCAGACCCCAGTGTCATTGTGGAAATACCCTTATTATACATGTTTTTTGCTCATCCCACAACTGTACATGACTGATAACAGAGGGTTACCCAAATAAAGTAGCACTTGGCTGTTGAGATGATCAGCAGGTGGCGCTCTAGCATAGTGTCAATGAAATATCAAGAAGATTAGGTGTTAGCATGCTCATAAAACATCCTAACATCTTAAATGAGTCCTAAGACCAAGATGAGACCTTAAAGTAAGAGCACTTTAAAACCGTCTCAAAGGGTTTAGTTCTAATCTAATCAGATTCGATTTTAACGTAACATATATAGGCTACTTGTCCATCTCACTGCAGTGCGGACGGTTTAAAAATATGCTTTTTTGTGGTGGTTTTAAATTGTATGTTTATATAAGGTTACTCCAGACTTTCAGGGGGAAAAAGTTCAATAAAAATGATGTAAAGAAGAATTCTGAAATTCAGTTTACTAAAAATGGTTAAGTTATTACGTTACACATTATTATACACATTAGCATTATTATTATTACTACTATTATTGTTGTTATTATCAATATTTAAAACAGTTGTGTGCATTTTTATTCAGGGTTCTTTGATGAATGGAAAGATCCAAGCATTTATCTGAAATAAAAAAGCTTTTGTAACATTATCCACTATACCATTCAAAAGCTTGGCGTCAGTAATTATTATTATTTTTAGCAAGGATGCTTTAAACTGATCAAAAGTGATGATAAAGACATTTATAATGTTGCAAAAGATGTTCTTCTGAACTTTCTATTCATCAAAGAAACCTGAAAAAATCTACTGTTTTCAACATAATAATAATAATAATGTTTTTTTGAGCTGCAAATCAGCATATTAGAATGATTTCTGAAGGATTGCGACTGGAGTATTGATGCTTTGAAATCACAGGAATAAATGACTTTTTATTGCAAATTTTGAATTCAAATTCAAATAGAAAACAGTTATTGTTAATAGTAAAAAATATTGCTGTACTTTGGATCAGATAAATGCAGGCTTGGTGAGCAGAAGAGAAAAAAAAAACATTACAAATCTTACTGTTTGTATACACTTACTACTGTACTTACCCACCAAAAATGTCACTTTTTAGGGGATAATGTCGTTATTTCTTCTCTCAGGGATAATGTAAAAATGACTAACAGGTGTTTATGAAACTGGAAGAACTTCACCAACCATGTTTTCTCTGTTCTCTCATAGAATGCTTTTTTATTTGAGACATTTATTTAATGGCAAGTGTGTTCGAGTGAGGGTGAAGGCAGGGGGTGGAGCTTATATCGAAGGCCCGCCCACCAGCGCCTCTTCTCCCCGCCCCTTTCGCGTGTCGCCCAATAGCAGCGAGCCACCTCCGCTCCTCCCCCTCCCCGCCCTGCTGCAGTGAAACCCACGGAAGCGGACGGAAAATAGGTTACGCTGCTGCCGTGTCCAAACCAGCCTTTTCTCTGCAGAACAACAAGACCTGGAGCAGAATTCCCCTCTTATTTTTGTGCTCTCATCTACTGCTCTTCATTTCCGTCGCGCGGGCAGCACAATGGTAAGGAGCGCACCGCATTCGCAGCACTGTAAACACATACCAGATAGCATAGTCTCAGATGCATGCAAACACTGGCCGTGACATGAAGATGCATGGCTTCCCTATTGTGCATCTGCCAGGTTGAGGATCTATTCCTAGTCTATTTCATGCAAAATGAGTAACCCAGCCCTGAGTGTGTGATGCTGTTTGGCATTTACAGATAAAGCCAGAGCTGTTAAGTATGACATTAGTCAGCTAGGCCTATTACAAGAAGCCATTTCTATTATTGCATCAACAGTTTGATAAATAAGAGAACTGGATGCTATACAACCTCTTTATTATTTCAAGTTGTTTCATCTCACCTCTAATCAGATTTTCTAGTTATTTGTATTATGCACTCATCCATACAATGTAGCCTGCAGTACTGCAACCCTGCAGTGTTGGCAATACCATGCTATTGAACGATTACAGTATTCACGTGGAGAAAAAGATACTCCAGAGATCCAGAGTATTGTGCCATCATCAGCAGTGTTGTGCGTCTCTATTAGGCTAGTAGTGAATTCAGGCGTACTCCAGAAACCAACGAGAAGATGCTGCACTAGAAGCCTCACCTATAATAGCCTTCCTTAGAAAGCAGCACGCTTCTAGCTGATTGTTTCCATTAACTGGAACAAAAACTAGGTCTGCCCTGCCACGTTCTGTTCCAGGTCCTTAGGTCTTCAGCGTTTGAGTAAAACCGTGCGCCGTATGTCTTTTTCTGGAAGGGTCTTGTGACAGACTGGCAGCGGCCGGGTCAAACGCAGCCCTGAAACACTGAGCTCGTGAAGACTGATGTGGGGCTGCTGCTTATTCAGTAATTCTTTCATTTTGGTGTGCCTATAGAAGAGCCATGAGCGGTTTATATCCGCTGTTATATGTTTATAGCAGCGCAGAAAACCTTCTTCCAAGCTTCAGACCGAAGCATCATGAGGTGCTGCCAGCAGCAGAGTTGGCTTATATTGTACACATCTAGGGTCCGACTCAGTGTTTCAGCTGCTACAGCCCTGGGCAAACGTCTTCTCCAGTAATTATGGCCTTTCTTTACAGAAGAGTGTCATGCAGAGCTCTTGATATGTTCATTCAGTGAGTCAGCTAAACCTTTGCAAGGCACTCTGCATATAGAGGAGATGTGCACTGAGACACAGGGCCCTGTGAAATTAGCTTTTTTTTCTGGATTTCCATTTTATTGATGATTTGTTTTGTTTGTTTGTTTTCAAAAACATGTCTAATTAATTGAAATGATATGAAACCTATATGATTTAACAATGGTTGATTAAACCAGGTGACATATCATGAAAATCTGACTTTTCCAGGTTTTAACTGCTATAATCAGGTCCGGTGCATCTACCTACTAGGGGTGTGCGATATTGACAAAAAAATATCATCTCGATATTTTTATCGATGACGATATTTTGCTGAGTGTGTTATTGTGCTAATACCTTAAGGACTGCCGAAGACTCCTAATGTTATTAATATTCTTCATATTCTGTGTGCTGGTCAGTTCAAACTGAGAGAAATTAATCTTTTCCAATAAGTTTAAACTGATTTTTGCAGTTTATGGGCATTTTTACCTTTATAAAGGCATTTTTTTCTAAAAGTGTCCATTATCTTTTGAATCAAATTCTTACATTTAATCGGGGAATTAGAATAATAAGACATTCGGGCTGTTACCGAGCAAATTAAATCGACACAGAAGCTGCATCTGACGTGGCATTTAGACGTGTTTACACACATGTATTTTGTTTAATGCAAGACATGAATGCATTTAACCTGCAATTACAAATGCATAAAAAAATGTTTTGATGTATTAAACATAAAACGCTGAATACTGATATTTGAAATGATTTAAAACATGAAAAAAAAATCAAAAAAAGAAAAGAAAGGAAAAGCCGAAATGTGAAATTAAAACCACCAGTAGGTGGCAGCAAGTCACTGTTAATAAGTGAGTCATTGCGATTGAACCGAATCATTTAAACGAGTGATTCATTCAGGAACGAAACACCGTCATGTTGCTCAGAGACACAAAACAGCGCTGTGGCTGTATTCGGGATGATTTTTGTTGGCGAAATAGAGCAAAAACAAGCAATATGGTGTCTAAAACCTAAGTCTCTTAATTAACTTATTGTTTATTGAATTCAATGTCACATTTGTAATCATGGTAATTTTTGGAGAAAAACGGCACTCTTCGTGTGAAATTGAATAACTATATGAAGTGGTATAAATATATACATTTTCTGCCATCATTTGTGATCATTCTAAATGCATTTTAATAGACTGAATAATGCAGTGAAAGAAAGAATCATGCTTTTCAAAGAAAAGTTTGAGCAAAACACGCTGACTGTTCTGTCTTTGGCTGCAAAGACGAGCACAGAACACTGTTTAGAGTCCCAGCCTCAGAGACAACAGAGCAGTGCATTTATTGATTTATTTACTGTATATTGCTGCTGCCACACAGATCTAAAATAAACATGATTTATTTCCCAGCTGTTTACCTTCACAGACATAACCCACTGTTTTTGTAACTTGTGTGTTTTTAACGTAGACTTGTGTGTGAATGAGAACTTAGTTTAGTGCTCGCATGCTGTGACAGCCGCTTTCTGTGCGTGTGCTTCAGATATGTGCGTTCAGAAAACCCTATATCAGAAGTTTCAACTCATATGGTTTAAAACGCATGATTTCAGCTGATAAACATGATAATCAGAACCAAAACAGATGTTTTTAGCAGGTCTGAGCTGTAAAGGCGCAGCTATATTCTGGAAAAGGGGGCGGGGAGCAGCAGCTCATTTGCATTTAAAGACACAGGCCCGAAAAACAGCTGTTTCTGCTTCCACTCAAAATAGGCATTTTCAAAATTATATAATAAATTATTTGTAGAGTATTTTGAGCTAAAACTTCACAGACACATTCTGGAGACACCTGAGACTTATATTACATATTGTAAGAAGGGCCATAATATATCTCCTTTAACAAAATTTTAGGGCCCTATGAAATCTGTTGTATTCCCCCCTCCCAAATATTTATTTATAAATTCAGCTATTCATTCACTTACGTATAACAGTAGGGACCTATGTATTTATTTTTATTTTTTTAAATTTTCCTGGATTTATGGTTTAATTTTTAAATGTATTAATTAAAAACAATTTATTTGAATAATGTTTTAAAATGCAATTATATAAAAATTGACTTTTTCTTGCAGACTTCATCGAATATTATTTTGCGCTTTACATTCAAACACTAGTCCATATCACAATATGATTAATCTGTGACATTTTGCGTTATACAGTAACTTCTATGGATTCCATGATTCTAATAATTCTGATGGAAATCATAGAACCCTAGATTTACTTCAGGCACTAACGAGTTATTATTAGTATGCCTGAGGGGTCAAGGCTTTCAAGAGTTTTCACTGGACGTCATATAAGGTCTGCAGTTTATTCTAGAGTCTGTCTGACATGTAAAGCTAGTATTGTTCCTGTGTGGAGTTGAGATCAATAGGAATGCTGGCGTCTGGCTTTCTCCAGGTAACACACACACACACACACACACACACACGCATTAGTCAAGCGGAGGCCTGCTCTCAGGCAGTGTGCAGCTGTTTGTGAGCATGAGTCATTTTTCGTAGGAGAATGAAGAAGAACGATCTTATCAGTTCTCTCCCCTTTGTTACTCATGCTTGCGATTTTACCAAATAATAATCTTTAGTTTCAGGGCTGATATTTTAAGTTATTACTACGTGGATATCATCAGAATATATTCTTACATAGAGAAGAGTCCATTTTTAATATATTCCTGATGCTAACCTTATAAAGCAGAGAGAATCTGTTCAAGGATATAATTAGTTTTTTGAATTACCAGGAATGGATTGCAATGCCGTTGGTACGGTTTGAGGTGTAACGTATTATGTCTAACCCCATCACAAACCACGTCTTTGGCCTCAAACCATATTAAATGTAATTGGCATGAGCATAATGGACATCAAAGATAGACAGTTATGATTATGGCCAGCTATAAGCAGCATCTCCAGCCATGAAACCTTTGTCAGTCTCTCTATATGTTATTGAAGACGTCTCAGCGAGTTTTGTTTGTGTGTATATTTATGTTTGCTTTGCAGGGAGCAGCATTTGCGTTCACTGTGCGGTCTAATTGACTCTGAATGGCGAATGCATTATTTATGAACTGCGCTTCCAGACAACGTTCAGCCCACTAAAGAGTTAATTTACACCTCAGTCCGCTAATGATTCAGGATTTCATTTAAAACGCCATCTTTTCCTGTCTGTTCTCTTTTTTGAGCTGCAAGGCTTCATTTTCTCTTATCTACTCATGGATAGTAAGGTCTACTGTGAATAATCATTGCTGTAATTCATGTTTATTTTGGACTCGGGGGATGTGTTATTAATAACCCAGTCCCACTCTTCAAAAACACTTCAGATGCCATTTTACCGCGGCTCTGCATTTGCATATACTGCTTCTGCTTTCCACAGTCGGTTTCGTAGCTCTGAGGATGCAAGACAAAACCACAAAGAGTCCTGCAGGATCAGTATAACTCTGTCTTTGTAGAAAGATGTTTATCTCCTCTTTTTGCATTTCCTGTTATGCTCATAATGTAATGCAGCATTTTATTTATTGATTTTTTTCTCGTACAGTTAAAATTACTAAAATATTTAACATCATGATTAAATTGTATGCACTCAAACAAATGTAATAAATGTGCATGAATGAATCATGGTAAGACCAGTAGCATGCATTCATTTCACCTGTTTGCATATATATTTGCTAACTAACATAGATCCAAAAGAGGCCAATGCATGAAGCTTTGCTTGTCACACAGACTGGGACAGAGATGTTTGGAGTGACTGCAGATTCCCCTCCTGGATCAAGCTCTTTCCTCACATTGGGAGCCAGCCCAACTGCAGTGTTTTCCACTCGGGGTGGTTTCCCGCGGCAGATGTGGCGTCTGTGTGGGCTTCAGCTCGCACACCAGGCCCAGATACACTGACACATCACACATTCACTGTGCAAACAGCTGCTGTTCACTCAAAACACACAAAGAATCCAGACTCTAAAACTAATACTACCTGTATATGGAGTTCATGCATTACAGAGAATGAATAAGCTCTCATCTGTCCCTCACTGCTGTGACGGATACAGAATATGGGCCTCTGAATGGGACTTTATAAATAATAAATCAATGATTGAGCTCTAGAGAGTGGAGCCATTTAGTATTTCATCTTCTAGAACAGAGCGGCAGTGTTTTTGCTCCCTGATGCTCTTTTATATTGCTCTCCTTCACACTAATCTATTGTCTGTATGAGAGAGGTCGTGTGTACATTTAAGAAACGTTCATGGAATCTGCATGTTCATGTTGCTCATGTTTCTTCTTTTGTAGGGAAATGAGGCAAGTTATCCCCTGGAAATGTGCACGCATTGTAAGTATCATTACATTTCTAGCTATTTTGCATACAAAACTTCTATTTGCTAAAATGCTGATCAAACCTAGATGGCGACTGAAGCGTGATCACTCATACTTGCTAGTCGTCAAACAGATATGAATAGATGAAGTAAAGCTCGTCTCCAGAGATGCCGAGGCTTATTTTTTAGCTCTGAAACTTTTCAATTAGTTTTGCTTCCCTCTGATGTGTGCAAATGTTTAACGAATGCCTCTGCGGAGGGCCATGGAGTCCGACACGCTCAAGAGTTAGTCAGCCTTTGTCAAATCTTACCATTGTGTGCCATATTAATGATAACTCATGCAAATGACACAGCATTCAGCACCAGATCTCTGTCAGAGAGGAACATAGAACAACACTAAGAGCCATAGCTGGGAATCAGCAGCTCTGTGCACATGAGCTCCAGTGCAGCTGTTAATGAGCTGTGAGGATCAGGCGCCCTTGGGGCTCGACCCGCTCTCAGTCTTACTTCACTTCACCACATCGTGTGAAGAGCTCTGCTAGGATTAGGGTAGCTTGGGTAACTGCACACACAGGTTAGTGTGCGTATGTATGTGTGTGTGTGTGTGTGTGTGTGTGTGTGGATGCCAGGTACATCCAAGATGATATGTCCAGTTTTAAGTTTGGTGCACATACGGCCTCTTTAATTTGATTGCTGTTATTTCAGCGCTGATCACTTCTGATTGGATTGGATGGATGTTAATTTAAGCTGTGAAATGATCTCACCCGTTTAAATGAGTTATTCTAGTTTAACAGACTTGTGTTGCCAGGCAACTACAGTTTTGTGGATCATGTGTCTGTGTGTGTGTGTGTGTCATGAAACCAGGCAAATGTGTGAGCTTGACCTGTAACAAGTTTGGCAACTTCAGCGATCTGGAATACAGTTGAGGTCAAAAGTTTACACCTCCCTTTCAGAATCGGCAAAATGTTAATTATTTTACCAAAATAAGAGGGATCATACAAAATGCATGCTATTGTTTTATTTAGTACTGACCTGAATACTATTTGTATTTGAACCCTTTCCAACAATGACTCCATCTTTTCACATTTCTTGCTGGATGTCCTTCATCCAGCAAGAAATGTCTGTTAGACATGCTGAGATGCGAGCAGCTATCGTCGGATCATCAGGATGGAATGAGAGGTAGAGTTGAGTGTCATCAGCATAGCAGTGATATGAAAAGCCATGTTTCTGAATGACTGAGCCTAGTGATGCCATGTAGACAGAGAAGAGAAGTGGTCCAAGAACTGAGCCCTGAGGCACCCCAGTAGCTAGATGTTGTGACTTGGACACCTCACCTCTCCAAGATACCTTGAAGGACCTATCTGAGAGATAAGACTCACCCCACTGGAGTGTGGTTCCTGAGCTGCCCTTTGCCAGTAGGGTTGACAGGAGAATCTGGTGGTTCACTGTATCAAAAGCAGC